GAATAGGCTTCTATGATAGAAATTCCTTGGCAAAGGATCTCCTATTCGTTGCAAAAATTATCACCACTGACTTGACAAGCCCACTACTCCACAAACACGTATCTGATGGGATATTTATCCATGAAGAGTAACATGTCAGATATCTATCGAAAGCTTGTAATTTGTTATGATTTATTAATCATTGCAAGATGTATGTATGGGTAATATTTAAGGAATATAATTTTATGGAAAATATGCTTTATGGACTTCGAGTAGAAATTACTCACAAGGGCTATGTGTAGACTACATCCCTCTTTTGAAAGAGGGATGTAAATTAGACATATCAAAATGGCAAATGAAGCTGGGATTTGAATTTCCCACACTTCATTTGCATAATATGAAATGAAAATGGGTTCTTTTGAAAATGGGTATTTCGAAAGTGAAACTGCTATCTAGACGTGGTTCTTTCTAAAAAAAAAATAAAACCCCTTTTTTCAAAAGATCCTGTAAACCTCATTTTTGAGGAGTTACAGGATCTTTCAAAAAAGGGTTTTTTCGAAAGAACCACATTTAGACAGCGGTTTCACTTTTGAAATACCCGTTTTCAAAAAAAGAGGGATGTAAAAGAGGGATGTAGTTTAGACATGCTGACAGAGATAATGTTTCTCAGGGAGGGCCCATGTGGATAAGGGAAGTTGTCGCTCCACCCTGTTTAGCTAGTAGTGCAAGCTAACCAGTCAGCTCAGTTTTCAAGCCTTCGTCCTCCTGAAGACTTGACAGAAAACCATTAGAGAACTAGAAAAAGTGAAACCCTGTGGCGCTGAAGAGAAAACTTTTTACAGTAAAGGAGAGTTTTCCTAATCTAGGAACAGAAAGAAAAGGCTGTTTACTCTATAAAACAGGAGGGTGAATCACATTACGCACATGGTAGAATCATAGAATACTATAACTGGAAGGGACCTTGACAGGTCAAGTCCAATCCCCTGCCCTCACAGGTACCATTTAGACCTTCCATGATAGATGTTTATTTAACCTGCTCTTAAATATCTCCAGAGATGGAGATTCTATAACTTCCCTAGACAATTTATTCCACTGTTTAACCATTGTGACAGTTAGGAAGTGTTTCCTAATGTACAACCTAAACCTCTCTTGCTCCACTTTAAGCCCATTGCTTCTTGTCCTATCATCAGAAGCCAAGAGAAACAATTTTTTCTCCTCTTCCTTGTGACACCCTTTTAGATACTTGAAAACCTCTATGATGTCTCCTCTTAGTCTCTCCTTTCTAAACTAAACAAGTCCAATTCTTTCAGTCTTCCCTCATAGCTCATGTTCTCTAGACCTTTAATCATTCTTGTTGCTTTTCTCTGGACCTTCTTCAGTTTCTCCACATCTTTCTTGAAATGTGGTGTCCAGAACTGAACACAATACTCCAACTGAGGCCTAATCAGCTCAGAGTAGAGTGGAAGAATGATTTCTTGTGTCTTGCTCACAACGCCTCTGTTCATGCATCCCAGAGTCATGTTTTCTTTTTTTTGCAACGGTGTCACACTGTTGACTCATATTTAGCTTGTGGTCCACTATGACCCCTAGATTCCTTTCTGCAGTATTCCTTCCTAGACAGTCGCTTTCCATTTTGTCTGTGAAACAGATTGTTCTGTGATTGGTCTGGGAGTATCGGAGGTAGGGGGGGCTTGCAACAACCCTTCCAGTCTGGGGAAAGCTCAGGACAACCTCCTTCCACCTTCTCCAACCCACCAACCAATGTGGCTTGCAGGAGATTAGCAGGACCAGTACTAGCAGCAGGAGTCTGCTGCCCCCCTTTTCCCCAATGCACTCACCAGCTGCTTTGCTGCCGCATTGCTCTTCTTCTCTCTGGGAAATATAGGGTGATCCTACTCCCTGCCCCGGAGCAGTGCGGACAGGAGAGCAAAGCAGCATGGCCGCATTATTCTGCATATACTTGCTGGTGAGTGTGGGGGATGAAGGGGTGGAAGATGGCAGATGCTGCTTTCCCTAGCAGCTGCCATAATTGGAGGATGGGGCAGTAGTCTTCTCTGCTAGTCCCCACAATGGCTGGTGGCAGGTCCCTTGCCTCTCCCACCCCCCAGCATTGGGGGTGCACATGACCCTCCCCCATGTGTCACTTCTTTAAATCCTGGTACCTGTGAAACCAGTCAGCTCTACAAGAGTGAACTTTGTGGAGAAAACCTATTTTATTATATAGGAATAATTAAGTGCAGACCCAGGTTTTTGTTTTTTCTTATAACAAATAATTTCCATCACCTTCTCATACTTCTAGTTAAATCCTACACTGTTTAGATAAGCCTTAAATTTATTGTAAGGGCTCACAAGTGCTTTGTCATTTACAGACATGTTGGCTTAAGATTAAAGCTGTTAAACAAGAGTACTCTGTGAGTAAGCGATGAGTAGTGAACTTTATGGGCTAGATATCATAGGGGAATGATTCAAAATATTGTGAACATAAGAGCGGCCATATTGGGTTACACCAAAGGTCCATCTAGCCCAGTATCCTGTCTGCCAACAGTAGCCAATACCAGATGCCCCAGAAGCGGGGAACAGGTAATCCTCATGTGATTCCTCTCCTGTCACCCATTTCCAAACAGAGGCTAGGGACACCATTTCTACTCATCCTGGCTAATAGCCATTGATGGACCTAATCTTCATGAAACTATCTAGCCCCTTTTTTAAACCTGTTAAAGTCCTAGCCTTCACCACATCTTCTGGCAAGGAGTTCCATAGGTTGACCATGTGCTGAGTGAATAAAAACTTCCTTGTGTTTGTTTTAAACCTACCTATTAATTTCATTTGGTGACCCCTAGTTCTTATATTGTGGGAATAAGTAAATAACTTTTCCTTATTCACTTTTTCCATACCAGTCATGATTTTAAAGACCTCTATCATATTCTCCCCTTAGTTTCCTCTTTTCTAAGCTGAAAAATCCCAATCTTTTAAATCGCTCTTCATATGGGACCCATTCTAATGCCCTTTTCTGAACCTTTTCCAATGACACATCTTTTTTAAGATGAGGCGACCACATCTGTACAGAGTATTCAGGATGTGGGCGTACCATGGTTTTATATAGAGGCAATAAGATATTCTCTGTCTTATTCTCTATCCCTTTTTAAATGATACCTAAGATTCTATTTGCTTTTTTTGACTGCTGCTTTACACTGAGTGGATGTTTTCAGAGAACTTTCCACAATGACTCCAAGATCTCTCTCTCTCAGGTAGTTGTAACTAAATTAGTCTCCCTCATATTGTGTGTATAGTTGGGATTATTTTTTCCATTTTTTTAATTTACATTTATAAACATTAAATTTCATTTGCTATTTTGTTGCCCAATCACTTAGTTTGGTGAGATCTTTTTTGAAGCTCTTCACAGTCTTCTTTCGTCTTAACTATCTTGAGCAGTTTGGTATCATCTGTAAATTTTGCCACCTCACTGTTTACCCCTTTCTCTAGATCATTTATAAATAAGTTGAAAAGGGATGGGTCCCAGGAAGGATCCTAAGGGGACCCCACTAGTTACCTCTCTCCACTCTGAAAACTTACCATTTAGTCCTACCCTTTGTTTCTGGTCTTTTAACCGGTTATGAATCCACGAAAGAACCTTCTCTCTTATACCATGACAATTTACTTAAGAGCCTTAGGTGAAGGATCTTGTCAAAGGCTTTCTGGAAATCTAAGTATACTATATCCCCTGGGATCCCCCTTGTCCACATATTTGTTGATCCTCTCAAAGAACTCTAGCAGATTAGTAAGGTGTGATTTACCTTCACAGAAACCATGTCGACTTTCCCCAACAAATTATATTAATCCATGTGTCTGACAATTTTATTCTTTACTATAGATTCAACTAATTTCCCCGATGCTGACAGACTTACTAGTTTGTAATTGCCAGGATCACCTCTAGAGCCCTTTTAAAATATTGGCATCACATTAGCTATCTTCCAGTCATTAGATATGGAAGCTGATTTAAAGGATAGGTGACAAACCACAGTTAATAGTTTTGCAATTTCCCGTTTGAATTCTTTCAGAACTCTTGGGGAAATGACAGCTGGACTTATTACTGTTAAATTTATCAATTTGTTCCAAAACCACCTCTAATGACACCTCAATGAGGGACAAATTCCTCAGATGTGTCACCTAAAAGAAATGGCTCAGGTTTGGGGATCTCCCCGATATCCTCAGCTGTGACGTCTGAAGCAAATAATTCATTTAGCTTCTATGCAATTCTGGGTGCACCGATTAATGTACCAGGTGACGTTGGGGCAGATATCCCAGAGGACGAGAGTGCTTGAGTCTCTAAAAGGCTGGATGTGTTAAGGAGCTGATAGCCAGCTACCATAAGGAAGACTCCCTCTTGCTGAAGGCAGGAGTAAAAAGATGTCTGTCCTGGAAGCCGTGAGAACCGTCATAGCTTCCAAAGGAGACTGTGCAGTTCTCATTGTTGGAATTCGTTAGAAATGGGTTAAACAAACATCTGATGGGGTGGTCAAGATTTACTTGGTCCTTTTGCCTCATAGCATGAGTCTGGACTTGCTAACTTTTCAAGGCCTATTCTAGCCTTATATTGCTGTGATTGGTGATGCGGCATTGTATGTTTCTGTAAGTCTTTGAGTATGCACAACCTATTGCATGATATAAATATTGACTGTACGTGTTCTGATGTCAGGAGATTTTCACATTTATTTTATATATCCATTATTCATGTTGTCATTGTGAATTTTATTAAGAACAGTTTGTATGAAATCTAAACATTGTTAGCTGTGAATGAATTTTTACTATTGATGAGTTTCTTTGAAAGTGATTGAGTCTGTTCAAGACTAACCAAAGCAGTTTGGGTTTGATTTTGGGGTTTCCTGCCTTAAAATGAGATTGCAAAAGTGAAATGTTGGAGAACTAGAACCTAATGCCATTCTTTTAGTCTGAATGTCTTAATTAACCAATTTTTAGATTGGGTTTTCTTCTTTGTGTTTTCCTTAACTGTGTGTTTTCAGAGCTGTAGAATTTTTCATCAGGGATAAATATGAAAAGAAGAAGTATTACGACAAAAATGTGATCAGTGTCTCCAGTGTAAGTATGCAGTTTTTCTAACTGCAGGTAATATTTTTTGTAGTTTTCTTGAAGCTTTATATTACTCTCGGAGAAATTTAAAATTTTTACTTACAGTATCTCTTCTAAGTACTTATCTGAGAATATTAAATAGATTATAAAAATGTGGAAACATAATAGTAAATGTTCATTTGGTCCCCAGCCATACAATGCTGACCTCCATTATCTGTGTATTTAAAAAAATATACAGAGAACTGTCCTCTCCCCCACAAAAACCTAGAGGTGAACAATTTGTTTGTGAGATAATTATAATTTAGTTAAGCTTGTGTTTCAGAGTTTAATTTTAATGGGAACTTTAAACTTTATTTTGTAAACATTTTATTCAAGTGTCAAACTAAAACACAGAGTATGAACTTGGAGCTGTATTGATTTTTTTTTTCTTGGTTACTTGATGAAAAAATTATTAAATTGAGAGAATAATAAAAAATTTAAAATCACTGCTTTAGAAGACTTCTCCCTTTGTAGGCCAAGAAAAATGAAGTGAGAAAGATCTTGCCAAATAACCCTGAAGTATTAAGTTCCCTGAGTTGGGAAAGGGGAGACTACAAATTCAAATCTTACCCTCACCTCCTAAGTGCAGTTTAAATTCTCATACCATTCCAGCACCCTTCCTTCCAGAATGACTGAACCACTTTTATCCTTTTTCTAACTACTGTAAACTTCCTTCCCAAAGGCAAGGATAGAATCCAACAATGCTGATCACCAATATTCTACTAATAATTAAATGTAATGATATGAACCAATGTGAAAGTTTGTCAAGCTGCTGGTCTTCAAAGGGCTAACAATTACTTCTATAGCTCATATAGTCAAGATATGAGCTGGTAATATAAAGGCCACAAAGGTTTCAAACTGTACTTTTGGGCTGTGTGGGAGGGAGGTGATTCACACAATTAGACAACTTTAAAACAAGATTGATAGTAGTTTCTCAAACTCAGATGAACTGCTCTTTTGAAATGGTTGATATAAAAGCATATGAGGTCAGTGATACATTTTTTTGCATTAGAATGTGAGTTTGATGTTGAGGTATCTATTGGAGGTTGAAGTGAAAGCCTTATGAACCATTAGTGTGTAATCAACTCTGTTACAGGCAATATGAAGAGGAAAATATGTGTCCTTTTCTGCCATGGGCTATTGGATTTCCACTGTGATCTATATTGTGGTGGGCAATAATTTTTTGCTGAAGGCCACATCAGAAATTTTTGAAGTGGCCCCAGCTGCTCTGGAAGAGGTGGGGCCAGAATACTTCCCTGCTTCCTCACCCCCGGACCATGATTGGTCTGGGGGTGGGGGAGTAGGTGAAGTCTTTGCCCCTCCTCCTGAGGTGCCCCTTAGGTGCCCATGCCCTTGACGGTGGGAGGAGACTTCATGTGCCTCCCTGTTCTGCTCCCAGGCTAATCAAGGCTTAGGGGCGAGGGGGAGTGCAAAGTCTTCTCCTGCCCTGCTGAGAGCGCATGGCGCTTCTAAAGCACTGCACGCTCCTTGCAGGGTGGAGGAAACTTCTCGCGCTCCCCCTGCCTTGGGACAGAGGGAGTGCTCAAAGTGTCCTCCCATCCTGCCAGGAGCACATGGGGCAGGGGAGCGGCAGGGCCTCCAAAGGTTGGATCAACCCACTTGGCGGGCTGCATCTGGCCCGCAGAGGCCCTTTTGCCCACCCCAATCTATGTTATGGAGAAGTCCTAGTATTTTCTGTTATCTAAGATTAAAAACAATCCTTCTGTTGTCAGCTCAACTTTTGCTAATCTCCACTCTTTCAAAATAAAAGCAAATAGATAATAAAACCTTTGACAGGGAGTGTGTGTCGTGTGGTGAGATACCTAGCATTCTTTTTTGGGCACTGTGAAATAAATGTCAGCCTAAAATATGTTATCCTAGATCAAAGAAAAGATATTCTGAAAAATATGAAGCATACTGGGCAGTATGTTGTAGAGATGGATGTCCGTATTTGCAATCTTGTTGGGTTTTTTTACTTTTTTGGGGGGACAGGGAGAAGTGAGAGAGAACGGGAGCATTCTAAAAAAAGTGTGCTAACAACTTCCAATCTGGTTTGAATCAACTCAGTTCTCAGAGCAAAGTCCAATGTTAAAACCCATTAGCGGGGAGGAAAGCACTGCCAGTCTCCTGACAGATGACTTCAAGCTCTTCCATGAGTTTACCTAGCTCTTTTCTGAGCTTTGTTAAAGTGCTGGTCTTCGCGACAGCCTCTGGCAGGGAGTTTAAGTTGACTGCATGTTGTGTGAAGAAATAGATTCTTTTGTTTATTTTTAATTCTGCTGCCCATTGATTTGATTTTGTGATCCCTAGTTTTTGTGTTCTGGGAAGGAGTAAATAACTTACTTACTCCACACCAGTCATGATTTTATTGATCTCTATCATGTCACACCTTAGTCATTTATTTTCTTAGCTCCCACATGCTGATCAGCTCCTGGCGAGCCAGCTTTCAGTTAGCATAAATCAGAAACAAAAAACAGGACTATGTAATACTTTAAAGACTAAAAAGATGGTTTATTAGGTGATGAGCTTTCGTAGGCCAGACCTACTTCCTCAGAAGTAAGAGTAGTGATGAATGAACTTAACTTGAAATTAGAGTCAGGAGAAGTGTAAAAAGCAAATGTTGTCACCCATTGCTGTATGGTAACTTGTTAGTGTAGAACAAGGAAAAGTTTTACTCTGAGTTCAACTTTTTTTACTCTGAAAGTTTTGTATTTCACCATTTTTTTTAGATTTTGAAGCAAGTTTTTGGTTTATTTTCCAATTGATTTTATCTCACTTTTTATTCTTTTCCTTCCTCATTATCACCTTCCCAAAAAAAAAAACTAGAAAACCATTTGGGAATACAGGTGACAGTGCAAATAAATATGCAAAAAATAACTTTCAAGTATAATATTGTACGCAGGAGTTTAGACATTGCCTGTGTTGAGTCAGTGCAGACACTGACCATTTCCCCCTTTAATGGAACCTTACTTCCAGATAAAGATATGTTTTTTTTAATTGTGATGAAAATGATTTGAATGCGATGAGAATGATTGATTTGAATTTTTGAAAGCAGTTTATTCCAACATTGAGGGTTTAGGTCATAGTGACTTAGCACTAGTGCAGTGTTTCTTAAACTGTGTTCCACTGCACATCAGTGTGCCACAAGGTAGTCGGAGGTGTGCTGCAGAGAACAGAGTTCAAAATGGCCACCCTTAAGGGGCGGGCGACCTTTTTGCTCAATAACTTCCCCCCGACCCTTTTATTTTTTTGGCTCAACAAAAAATCCTTGGTGTTCCTCATTAAAAAAAATATTGTTTGGTGTTTCTCATTCTTAAAGATTAAGAAACAATGTACTAGTGTGTAGTACTGTGTATGGTAATAAATGAGCTAACTTTAATTTCCTCATGTTAAATATAAATAGCAAATGTTCCTGAGACCTCTCAGTAATGTCATTTTATTTGATGTACCTACTGTGTGACACATTTAAAATTTGAGATGGTCTGAAAATTAAGTTGGTATTGATTTGTTTGTGAAGGGGCGAAAGGTCCAGCTACTACAAGTTAGTGTTAGCAGAATGTAAAATATTCTTGAAAGCACAATGTTCTCTTCGGGTGATGTCTCTGTGGTTACTCCACTCTAGGTGTCAGTGCATCTCTGTGCTATTGATTGATTTTATAGCAGTGCCTGGTCAGGATGTGTACACGCAGTTGGTGTTTTGTGGCATAGGCATCTGTTTAGTATGTGAGTGTGATCTGAGCCCCTTAGTTCCTTCTCTACCATAGAGTTCTGTAGGCAAACTCCAAAGTAGAGGGGAGGAGTTCGGGTAGTGGCACACCCATAGGTACACATATGTTTGAGAACCTCAGTTGTTGCACAAGGTTTGTAACCTTCTCTTCTCCTTTTAATGATGTCTATAGGTGCTCCACTTTCAGTGAATATGAAGCAGTACCCTTCAGGATGCAGGGACTTGAGAGATGCAGAATTGGTAGAAGCAGACAGCACCATGCAGTCTAGAAGGGTGTCTGATGTAGGGATGATGGTTCATGAGTTAACTGGTAAAGATTATGTTTAACCAGATAACTGATTAAACAGGGTTGGGCAGGACAGCTAAGCCTGGCCTGCTGCAGGTGGGGGCTGCTCTGGCTGTGCTGGAGTGTCTCTGCCCATGGCATGCTTGGCTTGCTGCAGATAGGGGCTGCTTCAGCCAGGCTAGAGCACCCTTGTCTGCAGTGTGCTGGGCCCTGCTGGAACAGCCCCCTGCCTGCAGCGGGTGCGGTGTTGCTCCAGTCCACCTGTTAACTCCCAGTAAGGGTGATGCTTACCGGTTAACCATTCACACCCCTAATCTGACCTGGTGTCTTCGATTGCATAATGTTTGGCATTAATAGATCAATAATAAGAAAATTGTGTAAAAAGGCTGTGGAATTAGACATGGCTTAGGTGGAGTGAGGAGATGTCCTCAGTGGATTTGAAGCTATTTGTTTGGTAGCAGGACCTAATATAGTCCAATATCCACTTGAATGGTTGCTGATCAGACACCACACTCTTGGAGTGCTCAGCAATGTACAGGAAAAGTCTTGGGGATTTGTGAAAGGGTTTAGTTCTGTCCAAGTAGAATGCAATTGCACATCTGATGTCAAAGGTATGAAGTGTTGCATTTTGTGAATTTTTGTGGGCTTTGGGATAAAATGTAGGTAGATGTATAAGTTCATTAAAGTGGACAGTGGATGCCACCACCAGTGGTCAAACCAACTGCCTAGGCATCTAAAAGGGCACCTACTAGGGGCCCTGGTTTAACAGGCACCAATGGCATCAAGGACACCCGAGGTGCTTCGAGCACATTCAGTATTCCTGGCATAATGTGAACCCCTTATGCAATCTCCTCCACAGGTGTCAGGAGGTGACAGGGCTAGTTCCAGTTGCCCTCCAGTATCTCATGCTAACCCCACATCTCCCAGGGTCGTGACTGCACCAGTGCCCCACCTCAT